GGCGCAGTTCCTGGTTTGGGCGTGCAGACGGCAGCTGCGGTTCTCGACGAGGCCTTCCGCTCCGGTCAAGCCATCGTTAGTCAGGATTTCTTTGAGGTCTTCGACAGAGCAATTCCGGAGTTAAGCATCCACGCTTTGCGCAAGGCTGGCATCGCGCCTGAGCTGGCTACGGCGCTGGAGTGGGTTTGGGCACACCAAGTTAGGTGGCTTTGCTTTGAACACTACGTGCACCGCCAAGTGCAGCCAGACATGCGAGCTCGACATCGTGATATTTTGCTTTTTGTCTATGTCCATGTGTATGTGAGTATGTACATTATGCTGTCATGCTTTCTTCGTGCGAGCTTGCGTGTGTTGCTGTGCCTGAGTTTGTCAAGATTCGGAGTCGCGGCGTCGGCTTCCACATCCCTAGCCTCTGCCCGCTTTTGAGACACGAAGAAGCTGGAAAAGCCCGAATGAACCGAAGGATTACGAAGAGGTTGGCATCGAAACAGCAGAAGGCTCGCCGCTTCCTTCTCTCTCACGTTTGCCATGGGGTGCTTGATGCCGGTGAATATTATGCGAGTACTTTCGCGCCAAGCCCGCTCTTCATCTTGAGGTGAAGGGGAAGAAGAGGGCTACGGAGACGAATTCTGAGCTGCCGGCCGAAGGCCGGCATCCAGAAGAGGCAGGTTCTTGGTACATCTTGGTACAGTCCTGGTACGATGTTGGCAGAGTGATTGACTTCGGTGTAACAGAGGGGTACGACAATAACATGAAGGTTTCAAGAAATCCTGCCTGCTTCAGCTGTGCGTGCTGCCGAAGTGCTTGGCAAGAGAACTGCGTCTTGTCGTCCGCGACGGTGGAGTGCGCACATCTCATGCGTGCACGAAAAAGATTGGAGCTTTTGGACAGAGCCATCGCGCTGCCAACATGATTTGTGGCAGCCTGCGGCACCCTAAGCAGAGGTGTCGAGGCTTGAGAGGTTCACACTGCGGAGCTTAAAGGGTAGCTTTTGCCATGTTTTGCAGGAATTTGCACGTTGGCGTTTCGGTTCGAAGGATTGGTGATCAAGGCCGCTACATCACGCGGTGTGCCCCAGTCACCTTCCGTTGGTGCTCTTTGCGATCAACTCTCCCGTGACATCTACGCCGTCACTTCGCAGCC